TGGATATAAGCGGCCAAGTCACTTTGATTTTAAAATGCCAGTCTTTCTGTAGAAATTTAGAAGTTTGGGAAGGAATTGGGAAATGACTCTGTTTAAGATTCAGAATAATGGTTGTTTTGGCTTGATAAGCCTGGTCCTACTTTCACTGTCTCAAAACTTTCCCTCTTCTGTTGAGGAACCATCAGAATTTAATTGAATTGAAGAAAAAGTGCCCTGAAACTTTCCATGAGTATGTATTCCAGTAGTAGATAACACAAATTTTTAGGCTGACATAACAAGTCTTAACATGGCTTCCTATTCATTCCCGACATAGCTGGGTGTAATACTGGCGATGTTAAGAGTATTTGGAAGATAGCACTGCTGGAGAATGTGCCATAAATATAAAAGAGGATAATTAAATTAGATCCTCTCAGGATGAACATGCTAAATTGAGACCAGAGTGCATATACAGTGTATTAAAAATAAATACTTGTACTGCACAGGCAGTGATTCAGCTGTCATTTGAATTCAGTGAAACTTTTAACACGGACTGATTTCAGTGAAACTACACGTGACAGTAAGTTTCTTGGGGACCCTGATGTATTTCTGACCCAAAGCCAGGTGGATGCAGTAAGGCTGAAACCAGCCATTTAATTCCTTTTATTATTTGTGGTTAAGCGGCTGAGTCAGGAAACTAAAGTTCTCTTTTTACTTCTGACGTAAAGTTGAAAAAGTAATTTCACCATTGTGTGCTGCAGTTTCCTGCGTTACAGGTAGGAATAGCAGTGCATGACCATCTTTGAAAAGAGCTTTGAGGATTGTAGAGTAAAGCATGAGAGTGAAAAGTATTTGTATTTTCACTGTCAGAATCCACCAACTTCAGGTTTGTCCCCTTTTGCAGTTCTAATACATAGCTCTGTCCAACTGGTGTTTTGGAGGTTATAAACACATGCCCTGTAACACTGAAAAATAACATTATTCAAGATGAGCCAAATGGCATTATGTTGAACAGCACATCAGAATTAATTCAATTTTATCTGTTTTTTTTAATGGATATCATGAAGAACTTCGTATCATTGTTTATTTCGTGACTATCTACATGTCTGGATTTCACTGAATAGAATTTCTTGAGCTTTGGGCCAATGCTTTGTAACACCACCTATACAACAGCAAAATGGTTGGGAAGTCCAGCCCACTGAGTGGGATTCAGTTCCAGATCAAGACCCTTGCATTCGGATATCTCCATGTGAAACAGGGATCTATGGTGTCATTAGAGCCGATGAAGGTGTGGTTAAAACACTCAGTAGTGCTTCCAGAATGACCTGACCAGCTAATGGAGACTGGTTTCATTCATCTAAACAGAGGCATCTAGCATCATGCTTAGGTGGTGTGAACCTGACCTGCAGTTGTCCTTCAAGAGAGGTGTGGGTCTCCTTTAAGTCCCTTGTCATACCTGCCTGGCAGATGCAAATGTCTTAGACATCCTGGAGCTTCCAATGGTGGGAGATGACAGGTAGGCAACTGTATCCCTCTGTCCAGGCTTGATTCAGTCACAATTATGCAGGATCCTAGTGCCATTCGAGGTGAAAGAGGGCACCTAAGACCCCTGCATGGGCCTGGCAGATACAGTTAAAACTGAGAGAGAAAAATGGCCTTCTGGAGTGGCAGCTGAGAGCCAGCAGGATGCCTTGGGAACTAGCTGGAGCTATGTGTCTGCCTGAGTGATTGAATTGAGCTCTCTGAGTCTAATCTAGGTCATGCTGAACTGCTCTCCAGGCTCTGCTGACTGTATTGACTAGATTGCTATTGATTATAATGGAAGAACATCTAGCTCATGTGAAATTGTCTCAATTTGGGCATGTTAGTCCTGAACTGAATACTATCTTTTTCTTTTTCCTTTTTTTTTTCCTACTTTGGAGACATTATAACAGAATAGAACAGAGTAGAACAGAGTAGAGTGGAATGGAATAGACTAGACTAGACTAGAATATTTAAGTTGGTAGGGACCTAGAACAATCATCTAATTCATCTGCCAAAAGTTAAAGTTAAATCCACCTTTAACCAACAGTTAAAGCATTATTGTAACCTGCAAGTAATCTTTTTCTAAAATATGCCTTATTTTCTTTTGTAGCAATGTCATGGTTTGATGTGGGGGGAGATTCTTGTGGCAGGAGAGGGGCTTTGCTCCCTGTGACCTCCCTGGTTTTGGAACCGGGTCAGACCTGGATCTGGCCACCAGATTGGAACTCCCATCCCCCTCGGGGTTGAGCCAATCAGCGCCTCTGCGAATTGCCCTATTTAAGTCGGGACAAAGGAACTGGAAAAAAGCTGCTCTGCCCAGGAGCAAAGAGAGAAGGGAGGAGGGCACTGCCCCCGCTCCCTGGCTCCCAGCCGGGCAGCTGCCTGCA